GAAAATAGTATTTAAAAAAATAATAATATCTATAAAATTTAATTAATTTATAAATATTTTAATTAATTAGAAATATATATAAATTTTGAAATAAATTGATTAAATAATTTATTTTTATGGACAAAATAATTTATTCGATATTTTATATCTATTGAAATTTCTTAAATATTTCACATTAACTAAAGAGGAATTGTCAACGTACTTTAATGGAACCTTCTTGCAAACGTAATTCTTTCAGGATGACGTTCAATAAACTGCTCTTGCCCGCGCCGACTTGACCGACGACAGCGATCAGTTCACCAGAACGCACTTTCATGTTAATGTTTTGCAAGGTGTCTTCTCGTTCATAATCCAGCCACTTAGTGTTTCCATTTTCGATGGAGATGCTATACTCAACATTGTTTGGCAGGTGCATATCATTTTTTTTCTGCGCGAAATTTTTCTTCAAATTTTCCATATTATTCTCTTTCACGTCCTGTTGATTAGACTCTTTTGCATTCTTGTCATCTTTTGTGTCCTCCTTATTATTTTCTTTGTTGTATTTCTTCGCTTCGATCTTAGAAGTTGTCATTTCGTCATACATCAAGAACTTTTGCAATCTTTTTATGGACACTCTCGCTTCCGCTACCTGTGTTATTCCTGAATTATCAAAAAGAACAGAATTGATAAATAAAAGAAAATAAAAATGTAGAGTAGTTCACCAAAATAAGGGTATATGTAATTATTAACGGTATATATATTATACCATCAATTATTAAGATTCGAATTTGTAAGGCTAATAAAAGTGTATGAAGTATAAAGTCGTAAAGCATAATAAAAAAAATGCAATAAATAGAACATTAAAAGATAAAAAAAAACAAATGAAATTAAACGAAGAAAAAAGAAGAAAAAGGAAACGTAAAGAAGGAAAGGAAAAAAGTAGAAAAAAAAGTTTGAAGAAATGAAAAATAAAGGAAATTAAAAAATTAAGAGATAAAAAGATTTACGAGCGTCATCAACTTTGACGATATTATTCGTATACTTATTGTGTATCAACAGCACTAATTAGCCCATACCTTGCGGAAAGAGAACAGTCATGGTTGTGCGTAAGCTGTTGTAATAGGCAGTTACTACGAACACTTTCTCGGCCGTTACCTTGTAGTCGAACAACACGTAAGCCAGCACTGTGATGAACAGCGACATCCTCGTGGTGAACATGATGAACGACATGGTGACACCTCTAATGTACGAAACCCATCGGATGACATTAACTTCCTTCCTGGAAAACAAATTCTGTAGGATCAATCAATTTTTTCTTTTTCCTACCGAATTGTATTTATTTTTTCTGACTAAGAAACGCGTATATGGCCAGATTTGTATTAAATCTATAATTTAATATCGACAATTAAAATTTTCATTGAAATTTTAGAATTATAAATAAAGTAATGCAATGTTTTAAAAATCACGTTGTTCAACGTAAAATTACTAATGTAGACAACGGTGCTTACTTTCTTGCTTTTTGTATGAGCGCGCTGAACGGATTCTCCCAGGTATACATTTTGATAGCTTGAATTCCGCTTATGATCTCATTCGTTAATCGCACCCTTGCGTCGGTCCTGATGGCAGTTTTTAATCTCAATTCTGATGATTTTTTGCCCAACCATCCTAAAAAATTCCAGGAACGAGACATGAAATGCAGTTAGATATTATTGGTGATTTACTGAATAAAAAGTGTTCACTGTGATTCAGTGAACAAAAAAATTCTAAGATCTAAAAGAAGATTCTATGATCGTCTATTTTACCGATTAAATGCAATAATTTTTATGTAGTAATTTCTTCTTTTTATATACAGATTGGAAAATTTTTTTCCAGAATTAAAGTAATAAGTATTAATATGTATTTGTAAGAGAGAGTCTACTGAAGACGGGAAAAATTTTTGGAATTTTTGTGAATATAATAAAAGCTCAAATAAAGAATAAATTAAAAATGATAAAGAAACTAAACATTATCTTTCTAAATTAGTTTTAAAATGATTATTAATCATAAAAAGGAAATCCCCTTTACAAGATTAAAAATTTACTTTACACTTAAACATCATAATAATATTTAATTTTATCTGTAATTAATCGTTTAATCTATAGAAATTTCTAACAATTTGAAATCAATTTTAGATTTAATTTTAGATTCCTAAAAGCAACATTGAAAATTATTATTCTCTGTCGTTAGTTCCATGTATAACAAATAAATAACAATGGCTATAACAATAATAACATAAATAAGTCTTATTTAATAAGAATTCATTGCTTTTAAAAAAATATACTTATTTTTTAAAAATCGATTAATTTGTTATTTTTTTCATAGTTAGAAAGTTCAATAATATTATAATATATTAAATAATTAAAAAATAGTCATTTTCGTAAATTAAAATAATTTTTTTTTAATGCATTGCAGTGTCACAATATTTTCAGTAAGCACACGGAAACAATTTGCTGAAGAATTTAAAATTTTTCTGGAGACAAATCTGAAAATAATTTTATTGGATCATTAAAATAATTATGTTACTAAACTAAATGTTATTAAACTAAAAAGTGATAAGTAATCCTGCAAAAAACGTTGATATTTTAGCAATCAATTTGAATTTCCAACAAAATTATTTTGATAGTCTAATAAAATTATTTTCAAATCTGCAGCCAATAGAATTATTTCTATTCACATTAACAATATTTTAAAAGTAATTATTTTCAAATAAATTTTTTTTTAATTTTTGACTAAAGCGAAAAGATAATTTTCGTTAGCAAAATTACTTCTAACTTAAATTAAAATTACTTCTAACTTAAATTAAAATTACTTCTAACATTTCTGAACTTTGTCGACAAAAAACACACATACATATCACGTTTAACTCAATCGTTTGATTACTTTTATCATCAGAAACAATTAGAGCAGAGACTTTCCCACCTTGTAAAGGGATGAACATCAGCAGAAAAGCGACACCGATGACAGACGATACTCCGACGTCGATCACGTCGTACATTACGTACGTCATGATGATGGTCTCCAAAGGCCCGAGCCACAGATAATGGAGAAATATGATACTGATATCGAATCTGTTAACATCATTAGACAGCAAATTGACTGCCTGGCCGATTGTCGTCTCGCCCAGCGCAGTTTTGCTCAGCTTCAACGTCTTGCGATAGATTAGTGAACAGCAGGCTACGCGGACTTTCATGCCCATGTGCAACATACTTATCGTGTACGGATGGATAACGAACACGTTAAGAGCGGAGCACAGAATGACTCCAACAGCATATCCGTATGCGTAGGATTTGTCGACGTCCATGGAGTTAAAGTAAAGTAACATCTGACCCAACAGTAATGGTTGCAGCACCCTGTCATATAAGAGATTTCAGAAATATTATTACTTATTTAGATAATTATTTAATATAATTAGACTTTGAAGATTTTTTTATAGATGAGATCAAGCTGTTGTTTCTTTCTCTCGATTGATGTAAATGCATCAGGCAAATACTACAAAAATGGGAACCTCCACTTTTATTAAATATATTTAAGCTGAACAAATAATAAATGAAAGTTAAATTGATTGTGAATAACTTTAGAAACGTTTAACTTTAGAATACGTAAAATAGAAGAAGATTTAAAAATTTATATAAAGAAGAAACCACAATGGAAATTAAAAATGAATTTTATTAATGAATTTTAAGTTGCTTTTAATTTAATAATCTCATAATTACTAATTGTAATTATAATTTACATGAATTTTTATTTTCTTTTAATTCCATAAATACATATCATTCATTTAGTTAGATCTTTATTTTAGTTAAATATTTATTCACACACAATTAAAAAAATACTATGAAAATCATGTTGATAGACATCATGTTGATAGATAAAAGTCGTTTGGTGGTAAATTCAGTTCCGCAGATTAAATTGCCAGCTTTTTATACTAGTCAAGACACTATCAATACAAGAAATGTAAAAATTTGAAAACTCTGAAAAGAGATTCTTCAGGAGAATTTCTGGGTGAGAGAGATTCCCAGCAAACAAGCTGTCATTTTAACATTAAAGACATAAAAAATGTATCAAAGCTTGATTATACCTAAGCAAGATATCCATAACGGCCATAAAAAGGCCATACAGTAGAGTCGTCAAACCAAAACACCTGATGAGGACTTTCAACAAGCTGGGCTCTTTGACCTTTTTTTGCAACCCGCTCTTTGCGACTTGCTCCAGCCGACACTGGTATGCCTCGCATTCTTCCTCCCAGGCTTTCGCTATTTTAACACCAAGAATACCACTTGTATGTTCTTTAAGCGGTGTGTACAAATCAGTTACTTCAAGATCTCGACGGTAACCCACCCAGAAAATGCGTAGGACCCAACTGCGAAGAAGAAAAACAAGTGTACACGTTTTACTCATATGAATTAATTATTCCGCAATTTCTCTAATTTCTGAATTTCTTTCGCTGGAATACTTAATTTTTTCCGCTATTTTTCAAGATACTATATCACATATTATTATGCAAAATTGATCTATATCCTTCTTTCTATTTCTAAATCTATAAAAACCACGATTACGTTTAAAATTAATACAATCAATTAGATTTTAAGGTAATATAACCGAGAAGAATTTTTTTCTGGGAAACTCAACGACGAAGATAAATTTCTACAAATTTAAAAAATTAAAATCGGGCAATACACAAAAAATTGTACGTTATTAAATATAATTGATTAATAAGGAATGCAAAATAACATTATACAATTATACAATTAATATATGAAAATGTTTCTTAATATTTATTAAATTCTATAATAAAAACGTTGAGTTGTTAGATTTCATAAAAATAATCCTAAGTGATTTGACGAAAGAGATGCGACTAACGAAAACATCTATAAATTTAAATCACAATTTTCCTTCGGGAATAAAAAGACGTGGAGAACTTAATGAAAATCGTTTCAATTAGCTATATTTGATTTCAACGTTAATTATATATCTATACCAAATAAAATTAGAAAGATAAAACATATCGTTTACTTGCTACAACACAATTTAAAAAAAATAGTTTTCCAGAAAAAGAATTCGAAGTTTGAACTCTTTTTCTGGAAAACTATTAGGTGTTGGAATTAATTCGTAGCGTTTTTAATGAAAGAATGTTATTTATTTCACATGAGCATTAAAAAATACATTAATGAAAGTACTTCCCATCACTTGTAAAACGCTACGAATTAATTCCAACACCTAATATTATTATTATTATTACTATTATTATTGTTGTTCAAACTTTCAATGTTTTAAACAAGTAAAATTTTGTAATATTAATTTTGAAATGCAATTTCGGTAATTTATTAAGAGAAATAAAAGTATTTCGTTTAATTTAAAGTAAATTTTTTTTTCTTTTATATTCTCGTTCTTTTTTTTTAGGTTTTTAATTGTATCTATTATTTTTATAATAAACGACATGTAAATATTAGAATAACGTCAAGTGTGAAAAGAAACTTAAGATACTACTTATAAAGCGATATACAAGATAATTGACATTATTTATCGACTCATATCAGTGATTTCCAATAAATCGACATTGTTCGTTTATCATTATCCAAAATTAATCTGCTTTACTAATATAAGTGATATATGAGACAATACAAATAGAACGCATATATTTATTTCTTATCTGTTTGTTTGTCGTCTATTACCGTTTTTTCCGGAAAATGCATTGTAATCAAAGCTCAAAATAATCCCTTCATACTTGAATAATCAAGCATTCCGTAGGAAATTGGAATGTAGAATCTCATTCTAAAGAATGAAATTTAACCAATCTTGAAAAAAATGGCTGAATTTTTAATCTATAAAAATGAGATATTTCACTCTATAAGTTTAGAGAGAATGAATTTCGATCGGAATTATTATCTCCTAGATTTTTATTGTATTTTCTAAGCAAGAAAGAATAATTCTATAATATATACTCAAATCAAATCAAACGTGTATATATATATATATTATTAGCGAGTTTTGCGAATTATCTTCACAGCCTGAGCTCAATTCCCAGATAAAAAATTTGTTATGCATGAATACATAAACATGTATAAATATTTATGAAAAATTGTTTGCCAAGGCCAAGTAGAAGCAAATGCTTCTGCTTCATTGTTGTAGCAAATATTTTGGACAGTGTGCAAGTATATTTAACTCTTCACGTTGAAGAAGTTCTAATTTCTAACTTCTATTATCAATCTATCCCAAGAAATACATTTTCAAATGCATTTTTTAGAAAGATGAATTAATTTTTTATATTTATATCATTAAAAATATTTTAAGTTCTTATTTTTATTTAATCACCGACTTGGCTTCTAGTTATATATTTTTGTTTTCAAAATTGAAGTTCGATAGAAGATATCTTTTCAAAATTGAAGTTCGATTGAAAAAAATCGATCAATGGTGAAGAATTAATCTCCGTTAATCTTCTTTTTTTTAAATATATTAAAATAAAGAATTTTTATTTAAAAAATAAGAATAGTTTTATTTTATCGTCCTTTTTATACGTAGATCGAAAAAAAATTAAATCTTACTTTACATAGTACATATCAAGTCATTGTAATCCGGATTCATTATATATTATTTATTGGACTCTTTTATGAGTCACTTCTCTCTCAATTTTATCTCTTTTAATCGGTTCTATCGCGAGTGATACTCACTGTTTGCTTTGAAAATACTTACGAGAACGTCAAGATGCTGAAGATGTTTGCCTTCGCTCTGGGATTTTTGACTTTTTCGGTGTACACTTTTCCATCCATGACAGTGTTGTTTCACAGGAATCTTTTCTGCAAAGTTACAATAGACCTTCAATTTACACATATACCTCACGTATACGTGCACACACGCCGCAATTACATTCGACGACGTTTTTTACGGAGATAAAAAGAATTAAGGATACAGCGAAGAGATCTCAGCGAGAACTATTATAATATTGCGTACCAATCGTAAAGCCGACCGCCGCATAATTCTCGCTCTCGTCTCTCCTTCCCTCGTAGAGAAAGATTAGATATGATAAAATTGCAATATCTTATCTATGTTACGTATGATGAATAAAGCAACGAATCATTAATATCATTTATCAATGCACCCATGTTTCTACGTAGCCCGATGGTAATTGTGATCAAATCTAAAAAATCTATTTTCCTGCTCAACACACAAGTTATACATTATTAAGCGTTGTTATTATGTTACAAAAAATAGAAACAACTGCAAGATGAAAAACACAATTGAACTCATACGTACTGGAAAATACCGGAATAATCTATTCCCTCTATTTTAAAAAATGGTTGGACTGCGATAATTTACTGTGGCTTACGACGCTTGTCTCTTTCTTTCGTATATTATCGTAGTATCGTGCACATACAGTGTATTACACATTGATCATGTGATCGACGTATAGTACAATTAGTTAAAAAAAAAATTCCTAGTGAAAAAATTGTAATGTAATTTCAATGAAATTTTGATAAAATATTGACGTTCCGTTGAACTTTAATATTCGTTTTTGAAATATTTTTATCAGTAATTTCATTAAAAACTGGGATAAATATTTATATATTATGCGTGTCTGATTGACAGTATCGATTACTTGATGGTGCGAATAATAATGACATGTGCAAACATCTTAATTGTTTATAATGGAACACGTGTTGCGACATTATAATCATTATAACAAATAATCATAAAAGACACGTAAAGTGCGTTTACTAATTTTTACTCAATGCTTAATTTATTCACTTCACGAATTATTATTCGATTATTTTCATTATACTGTTTTATCCAAATTATCTTTATTTACAAATAGCATGCAAGAAAAATCAACGTGTCATTTCTCGTGCATGATGTTACGATTCAATATGGCTGAAGTGAGTACTCAGGAGACAGGAGTCTTAAAAAAGAAAAGTAGAGGGAAAATATATATATATAACGAGTAGTAATTATATAAATAATCATTTGTATCTACAATTTGTTTACAATGATTACATTACATAATATAGGCACTTGTATATAAGGTACTGTAATTTGTTTTTTTTATCTATAAGTACAACATACCTACATATCTACATACATAATAAATATTGACAATGACGATTACAACACGATTGCGTTTCGTGTTAATATACAAAATGTGTACCTTGGAGTTCATCATAAATCGCGCTCGTGCCTCTTTAATCTTTTTTCTACTATTAATATATTATCAGTTTCACATAAAAAAATTTTAATATCTTTGATATCTATGAAATATTGAAGCACAATATATTTTAATATCTAATGAAATAATATTGAAGCACAATATATAGTGAGATTCAATTGTATACTTGATATTTTTAGAATAATAGTCACAAAAAATTTTTTTGATTAAGTTATTTTTCTTTAAAAAGATTTCATGATGACTTAAACAAACGTTTTAAATTATTTTTTCAATGAAATTTATTTTTCTTCTTTTTAATGAGGTTTATTCTTTTAATGGAATAATATATTTATTTTATTATTTTATAAGATTCTTTATGACTAATTAAATAATATATAATAAAGTATAATTTTCGATTATCATCACATAAAACCGTATAAAATAGATATATTATTTCAATTATAAAAAATGAAAAAACTCTATATAAAAAAGTATTTTTAAAAAAGTATATTTTACAAAAAAAAAACTAGATATTTTTTTATAATTTAAAATTTTTGTTCAAATAAAAAAATTAAATATGAAATTTTCTTAAACAAAATAATTTTTAATCGAAAAAATTCTTAAATAAATCTATTATTTAAACTATCTATTATTTAAGTCCATACATTTAATTTAAATACACTGCATATAGTACAATAATATATGTAATCACACTTATTGTATACAATTTATTATATATAATATCATAGTAATAATACATATTTGTACCCTGTCGTGTAATTCATAAATACACATACGTATAATCATACTGCATTGTACAATATATATGTGTATTGTAGTACATCAATGATTCTGTTGAAAAAAATTTTGCTGAAATTATTCCACGTTTTGGACATTTCAGCGAAATTGCTGAAAACTAGCTGAAATTTTTGCTGAAATTTTGCTTAAAAAAATGTTCTAAAACATGGAATAATTTCAAAAAAATTTTTCCATCAAGGGAATGAGTTTAAACATCATATGCACTTTTAAAAATTATGCTACAGTTGAAATGATTACTTAAAGTTATTGAAGTGACTGCAAATAATAGAAAATAGATTAAAATCTGGGCACGAGGCAATTTTGATCTACATGGAGTGTCTCAGATCGACCCAGTTACCTTCACTTATTTGATATAATATACAAATTATATAATGATTCGATATAATTAATGTAATATTATTTTTGGAGAAACAAAAGGTTCCCCATCAAATTCAGATTTCCAAACAGCGATTTTTATTCATTAAGGGATTAAAAAATATAAAGATATAAAAAAAATAATTTAAAGATTAAAAATATAATATATTATTATATATGAATAAAAGACTCCAAATAAAAGATTAACTTAGAAAGTTGAAATTACTTAATATTTAAGCATCAGTGCTAAAAATTAAAGAGCCATGTTGATGATCCATGTTGATTTTCCACTTGGTTCGCGGAGAGTTGAAAATATAATTTCTTGTTCCGAAAATATTTTCGTAACGGAATCGATCGATCGGGGACACTCGCTTGTTACTTTTTAGGCCTGGCAAAATTTTTCGAATATATAACAGGATCATTTAAAAAGGCGTTAAATATTTTAATTTTACTGCTTTATAATCCTGCATTATTTACGCAAAAATTGAGTACACTGCGCTTTATTTTATTCATGATACAATAATAAGAGAACAATAATAGAAAATAATGTCGTTGCACGCTTCGCATTTAAGTATTTCAGCTTTAAATTCTAAAGGCACCTTTTACTTTTTGGTCTTCCTTGTACTTATAGCACCAGTACGATAGGAGGAACATTGTAAAATTCTTGCAAATACAAACTGCCTCGATAAAGTGAGACAAATATACAAATATACGACTTATGGACCTGTAGTGATTGGTTTTTTTTCCAAATACTTTTTATACGTATTGATCAAAATATATTATAAGTATAAAAAGTCTTCTATCTATATGCTAAGTACAAATCTCTTGACCCGTTAATTCACCGACTGATCCTGTAGCTGTTACATCCTTGAGAATAATTTCTTCAAGATCGAATTAAATTAACTAAATCACATCTCAAATTTTTTCGAATCAAGTCTAGAGCCTCAAGACCAAAGCGATATCAAAATTTGCAGTCTTTAAATTGCTATGAATCGGAGATAATCCGGTTTTTTATTTCTTCTAGAACTTTAGTTTTTATTTCTTAGAACCTTGTACTTCGAGAAAAAGCATGATACTAACAATTTATTCTCTTCACATTCACATTCTATTTTTTCCCACACGTATTTTTGTTATTATCTCTTTCATCTATGCGTTAATATTTCATTCGTATATAGTATTTCTGTAACAAATTTACTTCTAAAAAATATATATATATACAAATGTATATACAAAAAATTCTTTCCTAAAGCGTTTATGGCAGTTTGCTGATGATAAGAGATATCGGTGAGCAAACGGGTTAAGCTTCATCCTGATGAAATATCTAAGTCGGGCTCATACAAAATTACGTAATAATACTATGGTAACTAAGGTTGTGTCGCGATCCACGAACTATACTGATTTTCTAATTGCTCGCTGCAATGGCCTGTACATCGCGCATCATTACATCAAGGTGGCAGAAAATTTGCGATTATTAAAATGAAAAGACCAGCTAGACGGAACTATGCAGCTTGCAACATATTATTAATTAATTATTTCGCCGACAAGTTCTCGGTTCCCTTAAATCTCCGAATTCTTCTAATTAGCTCCCTGCAATTTTAAATTCGATTTTGACTACACACATTCCTAGATTTTTACATTTCTTAATTAACACTTAATTAATTTTAAATTGCATTTACATTTTATGGTAATCTAAATCCTTAACATCCCAAATTTTTTCTTATCTCTATAATATCTTCATATCTTGCTTTAGATTATCATTTATAATTCTTTACATTTCCATTCAGGGATGCTAATAATTCTAATTGAAGAATCTAGAAAACTGTGATACATTGGAAGAATGAAATGCGAACAGAATGTAGAAGACGGAGATAATATAAGAGAGTAAACATCGATGACTATAAATTCTAAATTCTAGGATTGAATTTCATCTACGTTCCACTCTTCTTATTTTTTAAATTCCAAGAATTTTGCCTAAGAACTGCCTGCAAAAAACGGAACCTTCGTAGCGACCTATTGTGGACCTTCTACAATAAGCCATTAGTCATAAATCAGAAGTTAAAAGCTAAAAATTGATCAATTACAGTTGCCATTCTTCTGATTTATGATTAATGGCTTATTGTAAAAGGCCCATTACGGTGTCCGTTAGACACAATTACGAGAAATTACTTAACACCGTGAATCAAAGCGCCGTAAATTCGCGACTCTGATAGCAGTTGCGGGCGACGCCGGCCAGAGCCTCCGCCATCGCCGTGCCGGTTTCCTGTACCATGCTTTTCAGGTAGCCCGACTCCTTCTGCAGCAGCACATGGGGATGATCGAATTCCTGCACACCATAAAAGTATGCATTTGAAGAGAAAGCTTGCAATTTACGATCTGCTCTCGTTACAAAGCTATAAGTTTGATTCATGTCAAATATAAAATATTTACGCAACATGTATCAGAGATTATAAAATTATCACTCTTATCGATGGTTTATCTCGCACAAATGTAGATGCTACGAGCACTTTGAAAAAGATAATCATTACTATCTAGTTATAGTATTTTGTTATAATTTTAGAAGATAAGCGATTTATTCAAACAAATTTATTTTAATAAAACGCTACAAAAATGATTAAAAAAATTAATTTACCATAAAAGTCAAAAAATAAAATAGTCAAACATTTATATATAATTTATATTATTTTAAAAGATCTCAAAGATCATAAATAAATTTTTTAATCAGAAAAAAGTAGTATAAAATGTACCAATCAAAAATGACCAATAAATTCATAATTGCAATAATTCACCACAATCACAAAAACAAGGAAAGATTTTACGACTTAAATTCATTCGGTGATCTATTTCAATCAAAAAATATACGAAAAGGCAAGATCATTAAAAAAAAACTCACCACAGCGTTGCCAGCGTCCATCACTAGTATGCGATCGCTGTCCATAACAGTGTTGAGTCGATGGGCAATCGTTAATACCGTACATTTCTCGAATTTCTTCCTGATAGTTGTTTGAATGAGTTCGTCTGTTCGCGGGTCCACATTCGCGGTCGCTTCGTCCAACACGAGTATCGGATTATTCCTCACAATTGCGCGCGCCAGACAGACCAACTGCCGCTGGCCAACGCTGAGATTGGAGCCGCCCTCATTGATGTGGGCCTCCAAGCCTATTTCCTTCAACTCGACCTCCTCAAGGGCTCGCCACAGGGGTTCATCTGGATACAAATCGAACGGATCGAGATTCCGTCTCAGACTGCCGGAGAATAGGAATGGTTCCTGCGGGATAATGCTGATCTTGCAACGGAGATCATGTAAACCGATTTGACTCGTGTCGATTGCGTCGATCTCAATCAAACCATCCACGTCAGCCAGGCGGAAGAGTGCCTGGATCAGGGACGACTTGCCTGCGCCAGTCCTACCGACGATGCCGATTTTTTCCCGAGGAAGAACGACAAAGCAGAGGTTTCTGAGCACTGGCGGTTCCAGCGGCGCGTAGCGCAGGAATACATTCTTGAACTCGATCTTGGCTTTCTGCGGCCACTCGGATTTAGGCTTTTTATCAGGGACACTCTCGAGAGGAGGCTCACTGTCCACTTTGCTGGAAGAGAATTAAAGCAAGAAATATTAACGATGATTATTTAACAATCGAAGAGTAAAATATTTAGAAAAATTCTATATTCCTAATTTTTCCTGAATCTTAATCTAATATATGAAATAAAGATAATTGATATTTCAATAAGGTAAAACAATTAATTAAGATAATGCTAAGTAATACAAATACTATAGCAGAGATATAAGATATCCATAAGCAAATACCTATATTCAAGGATGCGCTCCACCGAGGTCATCTGGTTTTCCAACTCAGCACTTTGGCGCATGCCCCATTGGAACATGCCGGTGAGACCGATACTCTGTGTAATCGCCAGGCCTACAAATCCGCCATCCATTGAACCTCGACTGTAATTGTCTAACACGAGAAAGCTCAGTGTGACTAACATAATATATAACACACAGAAAACATCCAGCCAGAAACCGAAAGCACGCGAAGACGCGATGAAGATGTACCACGCGGACGAATGGAGGTCTTGGTGATTATCAAACTCCTTCGTGAGGATCGCTTCTGCTTCAAACGCGCGGATCGTCGGTAACCCTTGAAGAGTCGCGCTCAGATGAGCGAAAACCGGCGAGCGGGCTGAGAAAAATTAGAAATTTTTATATTATTTACTATTCAGTTTACCGAAGAATTTAAATCTATCATCAATTCAATGAGATTAATAATTGATTAAATTCAATCTGCAATCTTATTCTATCGAGGAAATTGTATTATTCCACCGAAAAACAAGTCTAAGATACTCACTGATGCCTTCGAGACGCTTCACACTGCGACTGGTGGCCAGGTAGAAGATTCTCAGGTAATAAAAGACAATACCGACTATCGTTGTGGGTATTAACAACCACACGTTCGCGATAGCTACTACGATAATGATGCCCAAAAGCGTTAATCCGATCTGAAGACAATCGATAAGCGCAGTTGGAAGCATCTCGTCAACAGCTCCCACATCCTTCGAAAAACGATTAAGCACACGTCCCGATGTATTGGTGTTAAAGAATCGCATAGTAGCGCGACTGATGCTGCGGAACATACGATCGTGCAAACGCATTGAGGCCCGCATACACGTCCAGAAGAAAGCCCATGAGCGAATCAGAGTAATACAAATTGTGAGCACAGTTAGGCCGCTGAAAATGTAGATACACTGCATGCGAGTGAGGGGACTTCTCGGATCTTCCACAATACCGTCATCCGTTTGGTTCATCTATAATGTTATACAATAAATAAAACATAATTAATTGAAGATATGATTGTAATTAGAAATGTAATTTTCTTTCCGATTTTAAGTTTGATATAAAATTCATATTTCTATTTAATTCTTCTATGGAGATCACTTTCATGAGATCTCTCATTTTAAAGCATCAAACTTCTGCTTTCATTCTGAAATTAAATTCTAGAAAATATTTGAATATATTTTAAACAATAATCATTACTTATTTAAATTTTTTATTTAAGTCAAGACACATTTTTTAAGATCAATTTTGAGTAAAATTGGGATTGAGAGATGTAATAATTACATAATAAGTATATTTCTATTATAACAGTAATGTATTTGCTTCATATATGTATACATAAAAAATGTACTAATTTTGAACTTAAAATAAAAATATTAAAATATACTTTTAGATTTCTCGAGTTTTTTAGCAAAATGATTACATCTCAATTAAAAGATTATTTTAGCATAGTGAAGCACTTACATAATGTTCCTCTATATTAACCCATTGCGCGAGAAAAAAGTCACCGCCGCTAGCCGCTAATTGTGTCAATATACAAAGCATAGTCACTATGGATATAACGCACCAATTCCCGCCAGCGCGTAAGTAACTCGTATATACTTCGCCAGAAACAGTGCCTACAGTTCGCATCTCAGCCACCTAAAATTAACGATTATGTTACTAATTAATAATTAATTTAGCGTTAAAATCTAAAATTATTTTAATAATAAAAATGTAAGATGCTTGGGTTTTTTTAGATACATGCGTACTATATATACTTATAAATAAAAATGACATGAAACTCGTTATTTAATTGTTAATTATTAATAGTGATATGTTTTCTAATATGTTAAAATCTAGCTTAAAGGAAAGACAGAATATCTGAACTAATATTTTGCTGTAACTTAAAACATGCTTTTGCAACTATCCTAAATTACAATATTAGTTTAATAAGATTCATATTATTACTTCAAAAAATAAGTTAAAAAATATGTCCTAATTACTTCATCAGGTTCCTGTTTCGAAGTATCATTCGTCATAAAAGAACTCAATGACGAGATGCTGGCATTGCGCGAATTACTACGACTAACGGGAGCCGAGGGGGGGTGAGAAGATTTCTCATCCGTTTTTGTTTGATTTTCCAACAATCGACCGAAGTCCACTCCCATAGATCCCAGCTCATCATAAGTGCTGAGAAACAGGAAATAAAATTCATATAAAACAAGTAGGGAAGTGAGTTTAAATATTAGCTTGAACTTGCGAGCAAATTGTCTGAAAATAATGGAAGATTTGTGTTGACTCGACCACAGGGCATTGAACGTTTCGTGTCAATATTGATATTTGTATTGTTGAAAGATAATGATTCTTGATACGTTGATGGAGAAAAGAGGAGTTAAAGTAAGGATTTAAATAGAATCATTTTGCTGCGTATAATCAGGAAGATAAGCCAAAGTAATCAAATCTATTGTTCTCGAAAGTATAATCGAGTCATACATGTTGTGATGTAATGATAAAAAAAACTCTTAAGATAATTTTTCTCTTCCAGTCTACTAATTATATTCTTAATCCCATTCTCGTTTTCACTTCAAAAAGCCAAAGATACAATCACGAAGTTAAGAACTTATTTATAAATAAATAAGAACTTATTTATAAATAAATAAAATATTTATCTATTATATTTTCAATATCATTGTAATCTTATTTCAACAAAGAAATTGTAATGAGATTACAATAAGACACACATTTAAAAGATAGAAAGTGCAATAAAATCATTCATACCCTTCAGCCTGAATAGTTCCGTCTTTGAGAACGATAATTCTACCGACGTCGCGAAGATATTGCAATTGATGAGTGACGAGAATCCGAGTCTTGCCTCGTAAGTATTTATTGACACATTCATCAAACATGTGTTTGCCCACATGGGCGTCTACGGCGCTCAAAGGATCATCCATGAGATATATGTCGGCATCAGCGTAAACGGCTCTCGCTAAATTTATTCTGTCAATTATTTTAAGTATTTCATCAATATAACTAATATGTCTTTCATAACTATATATCCAACGCAAAATCTTAAAAAAAAATACTTCATAAAATTAATTTTATTTGAACGAAAATTAATGAAATTAAGTATATCAATTTAATTTAAATTAAAAATTGTATTAATTATATTAAATATATAAAATAATATTATATAAAATAAAATTATAAAATGATACACACACATATCAAAATTCTTATTCCGTATATATCAAATGGAAAAAAACATAAATTTTTTAATATTTATTGAGATGATATGAAAACTTACTTTAGAGATTATATACGCAAAAAATATTTACTAAAATAATCACAAGATAATAATTATAATAAAAAATTAATTAAATTAACAAGTTAAATGTTACTTATCAATAAAAAAAACCAATAAAAATCATGTAAAAAATATTATTAAAAAAATTAAAAAAGAATCTCTGAGCTTG